CGAGATGGAGAAGGATGGGAAGCTGCCCTTTCTAGATGTAACAGTCACGGAAAGGGGTGGAGGCTTCCACGCTGCAGTCTGCACTAAGGAAACAAGCATAGGAATGTGTCTCAATGCCAATAGTGACTGCCCAAACAGGTACAAGAAGAGTGTTGTCAATGCTTATGTCGACCGTGCTCTCAGCCACAGCACAGGATGAAATCAAGTCGATGAGGAACTCTGCAGGGTAAGGCAGGTCCTAGTCAACAACGGATTCTCTAATGGTTTTGTTGAAGACATCATAAGAAGGTAAAACGCCATGCAACCTCTGAAAAGTCAACTAACACATCACATGTACCCCCCTATTAGACTATTTTACAGGAACTTCTTCTCGACAGCTCATAAAACGGAGGAAAGGGTCCTGAAAGATATTGTTGATAGGAACATTACCCCTACAGACAAAAAACAGAAATTACTGCTGACGATTTACTATAAAACCAAAAAAACGGCCAACTTACTCATGAAGTACTCTCAAGACACAAAGCAGAATTCCTTGAAAGAGACCAACGTCGTCTATACCTTCAAATCCCCACTTGGAGACTAAGCCCCAAAGAACTCAGTATATAGGCAAGACAAAAACGTCTCTTTCCAGGCGATTGACAATGCATAAGCAACAGGGCTCCATAAAGGAACACAATCTCCTCTCACAACCAGACCATCACCAGAGAAGTCTTAACAGACAACACAGAAATCATCGATAGGTACAACGATAGCAGGCGGCTCGACATCTGCGAGGCACTACACATCAAAAAGTCAACACCAGCAATCAACAACCAATTAATGCACAACTATATTCTACACACTTCAAGACTCCGAACCAATATGCATCAAGAGGAAGTATGGGCCAATAGGCCCTCTACAGTTACTTCCATTCTTATGCTCTCATATCCAACTAATACCAATTGTTTTGTGATCTGTCTTGCATTTGTCACACATTTGTTCACCTCATCCAAAACTGTTGCACCATATCACCTCACCCAAGTGAGAGTATAAGTAAGACGGATAAGCTGTTTAGTGTTAGTATAAGTAAAACTCTGTTTAGTGTTTTCAGGTTACAGTTGTGTGTAAACTAAAGTCTTTGAAAATGTAATAAGTTATTACGAAACGCGTTCAAGCGTCGTGTCAGACTAGAAATAAAAATGAATTTTGGAGAATTTATTTTTCAATTACCATCGACAGTAAAAAGAAACATAAGAAATATTGAGAAAATTCGTATTAGAATTATTAATCTCACATTTTAGGTCATATTTAACAACATATGTTTACAAGAAAGACTGCTACCAAAAATATTATATATATGTTATATATCCTTGACGAAAAGTTTAAAGACCTAAAGAGGATGGAAGAGAGAACTGGGGACTTTGATTCCCATGATGCCCTCTACCTTTTCACAAAGTGCCTTACTTTGCCCAGGCTAACATACTTTCCAAGGTGTGCATCCACTTTTGGCCACCCACTTCTAAATCAATATGATGAGCTCCTCAGCTCAATATTCAGGAAGGCGCTCAACCTAGATTTAGATGACAGTCAGTGGGACTAAGCAACACTACCAGAGAGATTTGGGGGGACAGGCATACGAAAGGCAACCGAGGTAGCACTTCCAGCATTCTTATCCTCATGTACAGCAGCCAACGAATTGTTAGGGGCAGATTCTACCAGAGGGTATGAGAGACACAGCGGGAACTCATGATCAAACGTTCATCGAAGCAGACAATGGGAAACCATTGCACACCCCCAAACCCCGACCAAAAGCTCCAAAAGACCACAAGCAGGCCTACTGGGATAGCCCATAACGGAAAAGACTGTCACAGCAATGATAAACAACGCAGATGCTGAAAGCAAAGCTCGCCTCCTAGCGGTAACAGCGCCCCACACTGGGTATTTTTTATTTGCTGTGCCCAATGCAGCCCTGGGAACTCGCCTCAATCATGACGCTCTCCGCATTGGAGTTGCCCTTCGCCTTGCCGCCCCCATCCTCACCGAACATAGGTGCATCTGCAGAACTGCGATGGCAGACCAATATGGTCGTCATGGTCTGGTATGTCGTAAATCACAGGGTAAGATTGTAAGACATGAAGAAGTCAACGACATCATCAAGAGGAGCCTCGCCACAGCCCGTTGCCCGGCACAAAGAGAACCACACTTATTCAGACCTAACGACCCTCAAAAGTGCCCAGATGGGGTCACCTTGCTTTCTTGGAAGGATGGTAAGCAAGTGGTGTGGGACTACACGTGCGCTGCCACACTGGCCAGTACCTACCTCCACTACAGCACACGTGAAGGGGGTGGCGCTGCTTCTTTCAGAGAATCGCAGAAAATTATTAAATACAGAAGTCTGGCACACTGCTACAGCTTTGTTCCGATCAGCTTCGGAGACCCTCAGTTCGTGGGCAAAATGTGCAATGAAGTTTCTGAAGGAACTGGGGGACAAATTGATCGGCGCTACAAAAGATCAGAGGGCAAAAAGTTTCTTGTTCCAGCGCCTCAGTGTTGCGATTCAGAGGGGAAATGCCTGTTGCATCTTAGGCACAAGTCCAACTTCAGAGGAATTTGAAGAAGTGTTTGACTTGCAACAATGATCGAACCCGTCTGTGACATTTATCAATGTTTCTCATTGTGTTTTTCAAGAGATCCATAAACTTTAAGCACTTTTTGTATCAACCCATGTATATCTTGTAACCATTAATACATAATAAAGTCCAAAAAACACAAAAGGTAGGGGGGCGGTAGGAGAAAAGCAGAAAAAACTGTATTGGATGGGACCTAAACATTCCCTCAAATGCGTTATGTGTGGTTTCCTCCGAGGCTAAGGGTCCCCCTTCTTCCAGCCAGAGGTGGTATATATATATATATATATATATATATATATATATATATATATATATATATATATATATATATATGCATGCAAAATTTATGAGACGGATTAAGACGGAGGATGATAGTATGAGGCTACAAATGGCTACTAAAGTTCAACCGGAGTAAATGTAAGGTAATGAAGCTAGGCGGAGGAAACAGGAGGTCAGACACAGGATACCAAATGGGAGATGATGTCCTTCATGAAAAGGACAGAAAAAGATCTAGGACTTTATATTACACCAAACCTATCTCCTGCATCCCACATAAAAATTACATCTGAGGCATATGCAGGGCTGGTTAACATCAAAACCGCCTTCGGGAACCTGTGCAAGGAATCATTAAGAACCTTGTATACCACATATGTAAGAACAATCCTGGAGTATGCAGCCACAGCATGGAGCCCGTACCTTGCTAAGCACAAGATGAAGCTGGAAAAAGTTCAGTGGCATGCCATTAGGTTAGTCCCAAAACTAAGAGGCATGAGTTACGAGGAAAGGCTGCGGGAAATGCACCTTACGACATTGGAAGGCAGAAGAGTAAGGGGAGACATGATCACTACCTATTAAATTCCCAGACGAATTGACAAGGTTGTTAAAGATAAAACTAACGCGGGTGGAATGCGAACAAGGGAACACAGGTGGAGAGTGAGAACCCAAATGAGCTACCAGGTACCTCTTTACTGCTATGAGAACAGCGACATCAGGTGTAGGACATGTTTCTGCCTAATCCAGGAATCAAACCCGGCTTCGTGGACTGTGATTCCATAACGCTGTGTGTGTGTATGTGTGTGTGTGTGTGTGTGTGTGTGTTCGTGTGTGTATGTGTGCGTGTGCGTGTGTACTCACCTATTTGTGCTGGCGGGAGTTGAGCTTTGGCTCTTTGGTCCCGCCTCTCAACTGTCAATTTACTGGTGTACAGATTCCTGAGCCTATTGGGCTCTATCATATCTATATTTGAAACTGTATGTAGTTTGCCTCCACCACAACACTACTTAATGCATTCCATTTATTAACTACTCTGACACTGAAAAAATTCTTTCTAACGTCCCTGTGGCTCATCTGGGTACTAAGTTTCCACCTGTGTCCCCTTGTTCGTGTTCCACCCGCGCTAAAGAGTTTGTCCTTGTCAACCCTGTCAATTCCCTTCAGAGTTTTGTAGGTGGTTATCATGTCTCCCCTTACTCTTCTGTTTTCCAGGGTTGTGAGGTTCAGCTCCTTTAGCCTTTCCTCGTAACTCATTCCTCTCAGTTCCGGGACCAGTCTGGTGGCGTTCCTCTGAATCTTCTCTAACTTCGTCTTGTGTGTTCGTGTGTGTGTGAAGAGACGTGATCCCATCGTAGTTACTGTTATTGTAATCCTATTTACTGTTAACTAGTAACTAGGATCCGATCCTAGTTACTGTTCCGTCAGTGAGGGACCAGTAACAGTAAGAGGTGGTGCAGGAATGTGCCCCACGATCAATAACCGTTGCCAGCAGCGCCCTCACCTAGGACAGGTGCTGGATTACTGCCGCTCGTTGCCTCTCGTGCTGCGATGCTCGTTCCAGTGGGAGGGGGGGGGCATGAATTTAACAGTCAGTTAAGTTCTGTACTGGGATATTCGTTCAAACAGGGGGGGAATGCATGTATTCTACACTCACAATCAAGAATTTCGGGTTCGAATCCAGGGTTGGACAAAAATGGTTGCGTGCATTTCCTATCGCCTAATGCACCTGTTAACCCAGCATGAAATAGGTACCCAGGAATTAGTCAACCTGTTGTTGGGTTGCATCCAAGGGAGGGTTAGTAATTCGACCCAGATGGGAGGGGAGGCCTTGAGATAAGCCTAATTTGTACTGTAAGTATAAACTGGCTGCCTGTCCCCACTGACACAGTAATTTATAATTATTAAACAGTGGTGTTAGATAACATCACACCTTGTTTTTAACAGTAAGTTGTCTTTCATACCGGGATGCTCAATGTCCGGTGGTGGGGGGGGGGGAGAAGGCGGGAGACGTAGATGATCATTGTTGACAAGGAGAAATATGAAGGGTTGTTTGTGGCACACGTTGTGGGCAAGCAAACCTTTCTGTGTTTTAGGAGGTAGTGGAGGCCGACGCCTCTCATGGAGGAGGAGGCAGTGGAGGCCGACTCCTCTCATGGAGGAGCGGGCAGGAGGAGGTCAGTACCATTCATAGTGTCGCGGGTCAAGATTGAACAGCAGAAAGAAGACAGTCCTGATTTTCGTGAAGTCATAATGAAACACGGATTTAGAGGTAAGTGTCATTCTACAAGGTGGGGGTCAGGCTATAAGGTGGGGGGGGGGCAGCTTACAGTGTGGGGGGTCAGCCAACAGTGTGGGGGGGCAGCCAACAGTGTGGGGGGTCAGCCAACAGTGTGGGGGGCAGCCAACAGTGTGGGGGGTCAGCCAACAGTGTGGGGGATCAGCCAACAGTGTGGGGGGGCAGCCAACAGTGTGGGGGGTCAGCCAACAGTGTGGGGGGCAGCCAACAGTGTGGGGGGTCAGCCAACAGTGTGGGGGGTCAGCCAACAGTGTGGGGGGGCAGCCAACAGTGTGGGGGATCAGCCAACAGTGTGGGGGGTCAGCCAACAGTGTGGGGGGTCAGCCAACAGTGTGGGGGGTCAGCCAACAGTGTGGGGGGTCAGCCAACAGTGTGGGGGTTCAGCCAACAGTGTGGGGGGTCAGCCAACAGTGTGGGGGGGCAGCCAACAGTGTGGGGGGGCAGCCAACAGTGTGGGGGGTCAGCCAACAGTGTGGGGGGTCAGCCAACAGTGTGGGGGGTCAGCCAACAGTGTGGGGGGTCAGCCAACAGTGTGGGGGGTCAGCCAACAGTGTGGGGGGGTCAGCCAACAGTGTGGGGGGTCAGCCAACAGTGTGGGGGGTCAGCCAACAGTGTGGGGGGTCAGCCAACAGTGTGGGGGGTCAGCCAACAGTGTGGGGGGTCAGCCAACAGTGTGGGGGGTCAGCCAACAGTGTGGGGGGTCAGCCAACAGTGTGGGGGGCAGCCAACAGTGTGGGGGGTCAGCCAACAGTGTGGGGGGGCAGCCAACAGTGTGGGGGGTCAGCCAACAGTGTGGGGGGTCAGCCAACAGTGTGGGGGGGCAGCCAACAGTGTGGGGGGTCAGCCAACAGTGTGGGGGGGCAGCCAACAGTGTGGGGGGTCAGCCAACAGTGTGGGGGGCAGCCAACAGTGTGGGGGGTCAGCCAACAGTGTGGGGGGTCAGCCAACAGTGTGGGGGGGCAGCCAACAGTGTGGGGGGTCAGCCAACAGTGTGGGGGGGGCAGCCAACAGTGTGGGGGGTCAGCCAACAGTGTGGGGGGGCAGCCAACAGTGTGGGGGGTCAGCCAACAGTGTGGGGGGCAGCCAACAGTGTGGGTGGTCAGCCAACAGTGTGGGGGGTCAGCCAACAGTGTGGGGGGGTAGCCAACAGTGTGGGAGGTCAGCCAACAGTGTGGGGGGGCAGCCAACAGTGTGGGGGGACAGCCAACAGTGTGGGGGGTCAGCCAACAGTGTGGGGGGCAGCCAACAGTGTGGGGGGTCAGCCAACAGTGTGGGGGGTCAGCCAACAGTGTGGGGGGGCAGCCAACAGTGTGGGGGGTCAGCCAACAGTGTGGGGGGTCAGCCAACAGTGTGGGGGGCAGCCAACAGTGTGGGGGGTCAGCCAACAGTGTGGGGGGGCAGCCAACAGTGTGGGGGTCAGCCAACAGTGTGGGGGGTCAGCCAACAGTGTGGGGGGTCAGCCAACAGTGTGGGGGGTCAGCCAACAGTGTGGGGGGCAGCCAACAGTGTGGGGGGTCAGCCAACAGTGTGGGGGGTCAGCCAACAGTGTGGGGGGTCAGCCAACAGTGTGGTGGGGCAGCCAACAGTGTGGGGGGTCAGCCAACAGTGTGGGGGTCAGCCAACAGTGTGGGGGGGCAGCCAACAGTGTGGGGGGTCAGCCAACAGTGTGGGGGGGCAGCCAACAGTGTGGGGGGTCAGCCAACAGTGTGGGGGGTCAGCCAACAGTGTGGGGGGTCGGCCAACAGTGTGGGGGGGTCAGCCAACAGTGTGGGGGGCAGCCAACAGTGTGGGGGGTCAGCCAACAGTGTGGGGGGTCAGCCAACAGTGTGGGGGGTCAGCCAACAGTGTGGGGGGCAGCCAACAGTGTGGGGGGTCAGCCAACAGTGTGTGGGGTCAGCCAACAGTGTGGGGGGTCAGCCAACCGTGTGGGGGGGCAGCCAACAGTGTGGGGGGTCAGCCAACAGTGTGGGGGGTCAGCCAACAGTGTGGGGGGTCAGCCAACAGTGTGGGGGGTCAGCCAACAGTGTGGGGGGTCAGCCAACAGTGTGGGGGGCAGCCAACAGTGTGGGGGGTCAGCCAACAGTGTGGGGGGTCAGCCAACAGTGTGGGGGGTCAGCCAACCGTGTGGGGGGCAGCCAACAGTGTGGGGGGTCAGCCAACAGTGTGGGGGTCAGCCAACAGTGTGGGGGGTCAGCCAACAGTGTGGGGGGTCAGCCAACAGTGTGGGGGGTCAGCCAACAGTGTGGGGGGTCAGCCAACAGTGTGGGGGGTCAGCCAACAGTGTGGGGGGTCAGCCAACAGTGTGGGGGTCAGCCAACAGTGTGGGGGGTCAGCCAACAGTGTGGGGGGGCAGCCAACAGTGTGGGGGGTCAGCCAACTGTGTGGGGGGTCAGCCAACAGTGTGGGGGTCAGCCAACAGTGTGGGGGGGCAGCCAACAGTGTGGGGGGGCAGCCAACAGTGTGGGGGGTCAGCCAACAGTGTGGGGGGGCAGCCAACAGTGTGGGGGGTCAGCCAACAGTGTGGAGGGTCAGCCAACAGTGTGGGGGGGCAGCCAACAGTGTGGGGGGTCAGCCAACAGTGTGGGGGGCAGCCAGCAGGGTGGTTGTCAGCCTACAGGGCAGAGACAGCCTACAGGGTGGGGATCAACTTGCGGGTTATGTTTAGCCTACAGAGTCGGGTGAGCCTACAGGGTCGAGTCAGCCTACAGGGTCGGGTCAGCCTAAAGGGTCGGGTCAGCCTACAGGGTGGGGGGGGGGTCAGCCTACAGGGTTGGGGGGTCAGCCTACAGGGTGGGGGAGGGGTCAGCCTACAGGGTGGGGGAGGGGGGTCAGCCTATACAAGGTGGGGGGGGGGTCAGCCTACAAGGTGAGGGGGGGTCAGCCTACAGGGTGGGGGGGTCTGCCTACAGGGTGGGGGTGGTCAGCCTACAGGGTCGGGGTCAGCCTACAGGGGTGGGGGGTCAGCCTACAGGGGTGGGGGGTCAGCCTACAGGGTCGGGTAAGCCTACAGGGTGGGTTTCAGCCTGCAGGGAGGGGGGGGGGTCAGCCTGTCGGGTTGGGTCAGCCTACAGAGTGGGGGTCAGCCTACAAGGTTGGGTCGGCCTACAAGGTTGGGCCGGCCTACAGGGTGGGGTCATCCTACAGGGTGGGGGCTGAGCCTACCGGGCCGGTTCAGCCTTCCGGGTTGGGGGTCAGCCTACAAGGTTGGGTCGGCCTACAGGGTAGGGGGGGAGGTCATCCTACAGGGTTTGGTAATCCTACAGGCTCGGTCAGCCTACAAGGTAGGGTCAGCCTACAAGGTGAGATCAAACTGTTCGTTAACATCATTCGTCAGCACTGAGTGTTCTAAACACCACATATGGTAGTGTGGAAGTGTTGGTAATCAAAATTTAAATTCAATTTTGTAGTTCCTGTCGTTGTATACAAGACACCGGATGCAAGTTCTCTGCGGTGACCAAATAATGAAATTCGAATACGGCTTAGAAACTCTTACAAATTCCGTCCCAATCATCGTTTTGGTCTGTTAATTCAATCTCCGGCACGTATATTGGAAAACTTTGGAAAATACTGCTTTTTCGGATGATTTTTTTTTTTAAGAAGTTAAAATTAACTGTGCTATACAAATGATCTCTTACAAGTTTCAGTAAACAAGAAATTAATTTCAGTCATGAACCACATATAAGACACAATGAAACCTCGATTTAGAAAGAAAAAACAATGTAAACGATTTGGGAACAGTTATATCGGAAGACCTTACTAATAAAAAGATAGGGTAGATCATAAGAACTTCTCAAATAAGAGATGAAACAAATTATTCTACTTATTCGGATCCTAGAGTTGTCTTGACTCTAGAAGTTGCTGATCTGGAGAAAGTGCAAATAACTTTTTCTGGTCGAGTTCATCTAACAAACATGTAAATTATTGCGAGAGCTCAACTTCTCCCAAACTGTACTCAGTGGGTCACAGGAGAGAAAGAAACACAATAATTTATCACCTTGGAAAATATTAGATAAATTTTCATATCTGCACTCTGAAATCACTCTTTACGGGACCACGAACCATGTGCAAAATAAATCGATTGAAAAGTTATGGTGCAATACTTATTCCACGAGAACAATTTAAAAACTTAAAAGAGCTCGAGACTTTTAAATAACCTTCCTCTTAATATAATGGACATACCTAGCCAACCTCTTTCAGTTTTCAACATGGAACTTAACAACTATCTCTGAAGACCAAGCAAGCTGTAACTCACATGACAGGTTGCGTGCAGCGGCGTTTAACAGCATGATTGATTAGACCCTCAACCAGAACCTGGACAGAGACCATGCCACCGGGCCACTGATCCTCGAAACCACATGAAGGTAACGATGATCCTGAAAGAATTAAACCTAATGACTTCAATGGAACGCATTAAAAATGGGATAACAAAATCTTAAAAATGTTAAGAATTAATTAATTTGGGAGATAAAAAATAGTCTTTAATATACGATGCATATGTTAAATTCAAGCAGACCTTTGGAAATGTTAGACAGATTGAGAACAGATTGACAGAATGAGAAGGAATAAGATGATGTTTATAAACGAAAAGTAGAAGATAGGAACAACATCCATCTATAATATAATAGTTACACAAACAGAGCATAGGAAGCGAGACTAAATTTATAGAAGGCAGTCTAATAATATATTCAGAAATTTATGACAATAACTCCATTCACATAGTTTCGTAACCATGAAACGACAGCTGACACCATAGTTGACACCACAGTTGAAAAAATGGCTGACACCATAGTTTACACCACAGCTGAAAATGCTGACACCACAGCTGACATCAAAGCTGACACCACAACTGAGACCACTGTTGACACCATTGTTGACACCACAGCTGACAACATTGGTGACACCATAGGTCTGACAAAGGACAAAAAATAATTTTGGAAAAGACTGCATCATGGATATATTCGGCTATATCATTAAAACCATAAAACTATATCATTAAAACCATAACCATTATATACAATTTAATATGTATATATATGTTAAGGCACTGTACACGATATGTACAGTTATATATATATCGAGATACTATGACCATGAGAAGGTCGTCATTCGTCCGTCATTTCCTCCCACTTAAGGATCATCAGATTATTGTCTGCTCATGCTCCGACCAGCACTCATTGCCTCGCCCGGTGATTTTAATTGGCTATCAGAATTCCCGCCACCGGACGAGCCACACCGTGCTGACCGTTAACAACCTTCACGGTCGTTAACCCTGTTCTCCCGGTAACATTGAAAACATTACTATTATATACCAGTTCTATTCTGATGGAGTCTGGCCCTAGCTTCAGTACGGGGCGGACGTGTTGAATCGGCGCTCCAGCAGTTGGTGTTGTTTGCCCGTTTCGGCTGGTTGGGGGCGGGTGTGTGTCTGCTCGCCTGTGCTGACGTGGCGTTACGATGGGGGTCCCTCTACCCCCTGTCGTCCGGGCTCAGTCTGTGGGACTAGAGTTCTCTGTGCGGGCTGGTTACCCGGAGATTGCCCTGGCTTGTGGAATGCTCTCTGTCCCTGTGTTTGGGATTTATGGGGTCGAGTTGGTAACGGCCCGTAGGGCAATTGTGAAGTTTGCAGAGGAGGTGACGTATCGCGATTTTCTCCGGCGATACGAGGGGCGGACACTACCCCTGCCGGATGGTGCGGGCACTGTCACCCTCTCGGATAGGAGTGGTGCACTTACTTACATCAGTGTGCATGGGGCTCCCTTGGAGTTTTCCAGAGGCTCTGCTACGGCGGTATTTCGGCCGGTTTGGCGCAGTTGTTAGTGTGAGAGTGAACGTGGTGTCTTCTAGTCCTCTTAAGGGTGTGAGGTCTAACATTCGCACCCTGGGCATGAGACTCCGGACTGATATTCCGTCCTCTGTGCGCCTTATGGGGTACAACGTTCGGGTGTTTTACGCCCGTCAGCCGCGGATGTGTTATCGTTGTGGTCTTTTGGGCCATCAGGCTGCTGACTGTTCTGCGCCTGCTGTTGCACCAGTAAATCTCTTCAGTGAGGAGGATTTTCCGCCCCTTCCTGTGGGGGATGATTCGGTGGGTATGGACGTCTCTTCGGCTGAGGAGGTGCCCTCTGTAGCAGCTGTTGCTCCGCCTGTTGCGCCCCCTGTTGTTGCCGCATCTCCTCCGGAGGTTGGGTCCTCGCCTGGTGCTCCAGCTGGTGTCCCTGAGCCTCTTCCGCCTGCCGTTTGCTCGGACCTCTCGTCTTCCAGTTCTTCCTCTGCTGTGTCTGTCCCGGTCCCTGCGCCCTCGCCGTCTGTTCCGGCTGTGCTGGGAGCTGAGGTGGTTCCGGCATTCCCTCCTGTGCCTGGCCTGGTGCCCCGTGTGGTTGAGGAGGCTGCCGTGCTGCGGCGTGCGTCGGTTCGCTCGGTTGGTGCTGCGTGGGTCGCTGAGTCTGCCTCCGGGTCTGATGATGTGCGGCCCGAGCCTAAGCGTTCCCGGCGTTCTTCTGCGTGGGCTGAAGTTGGCGAATTCGACGAGTGTCGTCCTTCCGTTGACGGTGGAGTGGCTCCGGATGTGGTGCACACTACGGTGGTGGCGGAGGTACACTTGCCTGAGGATGCCGGTGCCGGCGTTTCGGCCTCACCTTCTGGTCCGGTGTCCGAGGGTCCTGCTTCAGGTGCGTTGCCTGCGTCGGATGGCTCCGGTTCTTCATGGGCGGTGGTTCCCCCTGCTGTAGTTGGTGGTGAGCGGGGTAGCCTGGTAGTGATGTTGAGAAAGGATGCTCGCTCTGGATGTTCTGTGGCCCCTTCCTCGTTACCCGTTTCCTCGGCAGCGGTCTTGCCGCCTCTTCCGTTTCCTGCAGTCCCTTCCGTGTCTCCTGCGGTATCCATGGAAGTGCTATCGTCTCAGCGTCCGACACCTGCTCCGATGAAGAAGGCGTGGCAGGCTCGGCGACCCTCGTCCGCTTCTCCGGTGTCATCTGCTTCCTCGAAGGGCGTGGTTAGCGCTCCCCAGCCTCGTTATGCGACTTGCGTCAGTGACCTTGGGCGTTGGCCGATGCCGCCAGATATAGATGTTCCCGAGTTTATGATACCCGCTCGAGAGCGGGGGATCGCAAACCCTACCGACCTTGAAGATCTAGTCTGGGAAGCTTACAAGGCGAAATATCCTCATGATCTTTTCCCGGAGAAGTACATTTCTCACGAGGTTCCTCGCAAGTGATTTCTATGTATTTTGTGTTGCCTGGTTGTGGGGTGTGTATGTGAGTGGCTGGGGTGGGTATTGTTTCCCGGTTCCTGCGTGCTCCGGTTTGTATTGTGGGTTTTCTTGTATGGCTAGTGGGGGGGGGGGGGGGGTGCGGTTCCTATGCGTTTGTGTGTTCGGTTGTGGATGTCGTGTGCGCTTGTTTGTCATCTTGTGTGCCCTTCAGGCTGTTGGGGTGTGCTCTTTGTTATGTGTGCATTATGTGTGTGAGGTGTTAGCAGACTTGTTTTGTATGTTTCTCGCCTCTCTGTTTCCCTTATGTTTGTATTGCGCTGTGTTTATATTTATGTTATGTTTGTATATGCATTTTTGTTTTGTGGTCAGCCCTTCTGGCTGGTCTTCTCTTGATTTGTTCCTTTGTCATTATACGTGTGTGTGCTTTGTACTTTCGTTCTATGTTATATTTGTTCTGTTTTTATTGTACATTATACGCATGCTTGCATGTAAAAAAAAAAAAAAAAAAAGTTCTATTCTGATGCAACACAATAACAAGATAAGACTTTCCGTATCACAACACAGCTGATACCACACCTGACAATACAGCTGACAACACAACTGACAACACAGCTTACAGCACAGCTGACACCACAGCTGACAACACAGCTGACACCACTGCTGACAACACGGTTGACAACACAGCTGACAACACGGTTGACAACACGGTTGACAACACAGCTGACAACACGGTTGACAACACAGCTGACAACACGGTTGACAACACAGCTGAAAATACAGCTGACAACACGGTTGACAACACAGCTGACAACACGGTTGACAACACAGCTGACACGGTTGACAACATAGCTGACAACACAGGTTGACAACACAGCTGACAACACGGTTGACAACACAGCTGACAACACGGTTGACAACACAGCTGACAACACGGTTGACAACACAGCTGACAACACGGTTGACAACACAGCTGACAACACGGTTGACAACACAGCTGACAACACGGCTGAAAATACAGCTGACAACACAGTTGACAACACGGTTGACAACACGGTTGACAACACAGCTAACAACACGGTTGACAACACAGCTGACAACACCGTTGACAACACGGTTGACGACATAGCTGACAACACGGTTGACAACACAGCTGACAACATGGTTGACAACACAGCTGACAACACAGCTGACAACACGGTTGACAACACGGCTGACAATACAGCTGACAACACAACTGACAACACAGCTTACAGCACAGCTGACACCACAGCTGACAACACAGCTGACAACACAGCTGACACCACTGCTGACAACACGGTTGACAACACGGTTGACAACACGGTTGACAACACGGTTGACAACACAGCTGACAACACGGTTGACAACACAGCTGACAACACGGTTGACAACACAGCTGAAAACATGGTTGACAACACAGCTGACAACACGGTAGACAACACAGCTGAAAACACGGTTGACAACACGGTTGACAACACGGTTGACAACACAGCTGACAACACGGTTGACAACACAGCTGACAACACGGTTGACAACACAGCTGAAAACATGGTTGACAACACAGCTGACAACACGGTAGACAACACAGCTGAAAACACGGTTGACAACACAGCTGAAAACACGGTTGACAACACAGCTGACAACACGGTTGACAACACAGCTGACAACACGGTTGACAACACAGCTGACAACACGGTTGACAACACAGCTGAAAACACGGTTGACAACACAGCTGACAACACGGTAGACAACACAGCTGAAAACACGGTTGACAACACAGCTGACAACACGGTAGACAACACAGCTGACAACACGGTTGACAACACAGCTGAAAACACGGTTGACAACACAGCTGACAACACGGTTGATAACACAGCTGACAACACGGTTGACAACACAGCTGAAAACACGGTTGACAACACAGCTGACAACACGGTTGACAACACAGCTGACAACACGGTTGACAACACAGCTGAAAACACGGTTGACAACACAGCTGAAAACACGGTTGACAACACAGCTGACAACACGGTTGACAACACAGCTGAAAACACGGTTGACAACACAGCTGAAAACACGGTTGACAACACAGCTGACAACACGGTTGACAACATAGCTGACAACACAGGTCACTATAGTGCAGCAAGCCATAAATCATGGAGCAATTCATCCTGCAAAATCCGCAGAGTTAAGTCTTTTGACATCACTCGTGCGATGTTGCTGGAATCGTCATATATATTCAATATTTCCTACTGAGTGAAACTGGAGAGGGAGAGTCACTCGTTCTTTGATGCTTCACGCCGTATGTGAGAGCAGAGAATGCTGGCAGCATGGAAGAGAAACACCGAGACAGGAGGAGAAGTATCGGCAGGAGACGCAGGACATTATAATGATCAAATAATAAAGTTACATTATCGGAGAGAGTACGGACACTGACGCTAAGAATTACGGAAACACCATACCTGTAAAACCGGTTCTGTAATCTGCTGACTGAGCGAGAATTTGTCACAGAATCTCAGTAATTCTCTGACCTGTGGTTGGTTATTTCCAGGTTGACTTCCTGCTATGATGTTATTGTTTACTATTCTCCATTTTAAACTGGGCAGATTGAAGTCTCCAAGGAAGATGATATCTGGTACTGGGTTAGCTAGGTTATCAAGGATATTCTCTATTTTGTGGATCTGTTCAGTGAATTCCTCAACTGTTGCATCTGGCGGTTTGTATATTAAAATAATAAGTAGATTCATATTTTCTACCTTGATTCCAAGTACCTCTACCACCTCATTTGAGCTCTGTGCATGCCAGCTCCTCTTTAATATACAGACCTACTCCTCCACTTGACCTAATTACTCTGTCACATCTATATAGATTGTAATTCGGAATCCAGATTTCACTATCCATGTGGTCTTTTGTGTGGGTTTCTGTAAATGCACCAAATATTGAGTTCGATTCTATTAGGAGGCCATTTATGAACTTAACTTTATTTCTTGACTTTGGTTTCAAGCCTTGCATGTTTGCAAATATGAATGATTCCCACATTGCGTGTCACTTTTGGTGGGCTTTGGTAGTTCTCCCCCCACTCTACCCCGGTCCAGGGTGTGTTATTTTGGAAGTGATTCGTCCAGTTTTGGTAGTAGGACGGGTGTTGTGTGGTGTAGTACCTGTGTGCTTGTTGATAATTTGTATTCCAGTCCTGTGGGTATCTCCCTTCCCCTCTGTAATCCTGTAGTGGTTCCATCTGACTGTCCATCTCTCTTATATTTACTACTCTGTTTCTGCCTTCCTCTAAAAAATTTCCAGTAGTGTCATATTGATCTTCGCGTCTATAACGCTGTGTACCTTTCACGTGGAATTCCGGACACTGAAGATTGTAGCATTTTTTGTTCCTAATTGAAAATTGACATAATTTAGGGTGAAAGTATCTACACCCTGTTCCAAAACGGCATGTACCCCTCGCCAACATGTTTCTGCATTTTCGAGGATGCAGAAAATAGCATTTTGCTCCTAATTTTCCATATTTGCACCTTTAGCGTAAAATTTGCAAATATGTCCCGGTTTTTCGTTTGTCAAGGTATTTATACCTGTGTCTGTCTTGTCTACCTCTTTATTGGAGCCATCTCCGTCTTTCGTCCCAATTCCTTCATTTATGCACTCTCTCACTGTTGCTCTCATCGTTTATATTACCTGGCTCTGCAATATTGCTGTTATTTTGTATCACAATACCCTCTTCCTCCACACTACTGCTGCGGTTCTCTAAACTATCTGTTCCTGAGTTTTGGTCGTTATCCAATGTTGTCTTTTCCCAATCCGCATATATCACTGGTAGCTTGTCTGTGAATGATAATCTCTGTGACTCGGGAATGTTTTTCATCAGTTTAGTTATGTTCTCCAACATTAATCTGTCATCTTTGCAAACCCAGTAAATTCCTTGCCTTTTTGTGCATCCTGGAGATAATTCTGCACAGCCCAGGCGAAATCTTTTGTAACAGATGCAACACTTGACGCCTACATTACGTTTTCCCAATACTCCCGAACACTCGCCACACCTCTCCATTGTCTGATGTATTGTATTATATTTGTGCTTCACTGTATTGATCACTTGTTGGTTGTCAGTCCTTTTAACTCTTTATAAAATATATGTATATATTTATATATTTAATATTTATAATATTATATGTATACCGTATATTTGTAATATTATGAATGTTATTTTGTTCAAACTTTATGGCAGGTACTTAGCGTAGGGGTAGCGAAGCTGGTCCCCGGTGCGTACAGGTGACCTCTTGTTGTCCCAGGTTGATGTCATCAGTTTCCAGTTACTCGATTTATAACACTGATTTATTCTTTGCTTGTATTCTTACAAGGAATTTTCTGCCTATTTTCCGGCTTGCAATGGTACTCACTCACTTTATTACTAATTCCTAGATCCACATTTCCATATTACACTATATATTGTCCGTAATTTTATCACTGTGGGACTGCCCTGAGGTGGGCCTCGTGGCTTGTGTAAACACAGCCTAGCTGATGCCGATGCTTGCCACTATTCTATATTGTTAGTATTCTATATATATAAATCTATGCACGATTTTCCTACACTTCCAACTTTTATGTGTGTTGTGATACCCGTTTCACTTCACTGTTCCACGAATCACTGTTCACTGTTTTTTCCTCATATTGCCTACGCGCATGTACACAAAGCCTCGTGCACTAGCTCCCACGTGGTCTCCCGTTTATTCTCTATTTAACCCAAAGTTCCATTGTTAATGACTGTTTCAATTTTCCAGCGGGTCACTATGCACTTTGTGATGTCTGTAATCAGTAATCCATGGCTGTAGTCCTAAGAAATCCCGGTTAATGTCACGATTTTAACGGAGCGCGCACGGTACGTCTTTTCCCTCCCTCGACCCAGACTTACTCTCGTATATGGAGTTCTTCGAAACAAAAATCTTATCCAGGATTATCCCCTCTAATGTAGCCTGGTTTAGGTATGTCGATGATATTTTGTGCTTATGGCTGAGTGACCACGACTAAATTGTTTTTCTTAATGAACTTAATTCTTTGGTACCTTCAATAAAATTCTCATGTGAAAATGAGGAGAATGGTACTCTTCCGTTTTTGGACATTTTGATTCATAAAGTCAACAGAAGGTTCAAATTTAATGTGTATAGAAAACCTACCAACGTGGGGTAGTTTGTTCATTATTATTCGAATCATCATTGTAAAGTTAAACAGGCAGTATTTTCAGGAATGTTTCTTCGAGCTTTGAGGGTATGCAGCCCTGAGTTTTTTGATGAAGAGATAGCTAAAATATATGAAATTGGGAAGAGTTTACAGTACCCTAAGATATTTTTGGATTGTTCGTTTGAGAAAGCTAAACGTACGTTTTATAATAATGTCTCCAAAGCGACACCAGAAATTAGAAACTCATTGGTGGTACCTTATGAGATGGGATTGGAGAAACTTTCCCCAGTTTTTAAGAACCTTAATATCATTTTGGTGATCACTAATAATAGGATAAAGTCTAATTTAGTAAAAAAAAACTCCCCTGGTACTGCAGGTTGTGTGTATTCAATTCCCTGCAATGATTGTGAGTCTGTGTACCTTGGACAAACAGGAAAATCCTTACAATTGCGTATGTCCCAATATGCTTATAGTATAAGAACTGCCCAAACGTCTAATGCTTTGTATCTACATACAAGTTTGTGTGATCACACTATTAATTGGGATGGGGCGAAAAACATTGCCAATTGCAATGGCTTTGTGGAACGGAATTTAATTGAGTCTGCCTTAATTAGTCAATGTCCAAATCTTCTCAATGTTAGTACTGGTATGTACAAACTTGACCCAGTTTTAAGTTACAATATTGCACAACAGTTTAAGAAAAAACTATGATAGTTATATTGTCTCATAATAATATTATTTTAATATTTTATGTAGGTTCAATGAGGTTGTTTCTTTAATCTTTTATTCTTACCACTTAAATCCTTCTGACCACTCTAAGCTAATCTGTACCTTTTTCTAGTTAATTCTTTCCCCAAAGAGATAGTAGTCAGGATCTAGTGTCTGCCTCCACTCTCTCTTTATGATTTCTTTCAGTCAAGTGTTGACAAAGGCCCAGATCGGCCAAAACGTTCATCTCTCTTTCCCATTTCTCTGTGGATTTTACGCATACGAATGATCAGTGTTTAATGATCGTCAATTGCATATATATATGTCGTACCTAGTAGCCAGAACGCACTTCTCAGCCTACTATGCAAGGCCAGATTTGCCTAATAAGCCAAGTTTTCATGAATTAATTGTTTTTCGACTACCTAACCTACCTAACCTAACCTAACCTAACTTTTTCGGCTACCTAACCTAACCTATAAAGATAGGTTAGGTTAGGTTAGGTAGAGTTGGTTAGGTTCGGTCATATATCTACGTTAATTTTAACTCCAATAAAGAAAAATTGACCTCATACATAATGAAAAGGGTAGATTTATCATTTCATAAGAAAAAAATTAGAGAAAATACATTAATTCAGGAAAACTTGGCTTATTAGGCAAATCGGGCCATGAATAGTAGGCCAAAAAGTGCGTTCTGGCTACTAGGTACGACATATATATATATATATATATATATATATATATATATATATATATATATATATATGTCGTACCTAGTAGCCAGAACTCACTTTTTGGCCTACTATTCAAGGCCCGATTTGCCTAATAAGCCAAGTTTTCATGAATTAATTGTTTTTCGACTACCTAACCTACCTAACCTAACCTAACCTAACTTTTTCGGCTACCTAACGAAACCTAACCTATAAAGATAGGTTAGGTTAGGTTAGGTAGGGTTGGTTAGGTTCGGTCATATATCTACGTTAATTTTAACTCCAATAAAAAAAAATTGACCTCATACATAATGAAATGGGTAGCTTTATCATTTCTTAAGAAAAAAATTAGAAAAAATATATTAATTCAGGAAAACTTGGCTTATTAGGCAAATCGGGCCTTGAATAGTAGGCCAAAAAGTGAGTTCTGGCTACTAGGTACGACATATATATATATATATATATATATATATGTCGTACCTAGTAGCCAGAATGCACTTTTATGCCTACTATGCAAGGCCCGATTTGCCTAATAAGCCAAGCCGAAAATATATATTAGCCTAATATATTAGCCGAAAAAGTTAGGTTAGGTTAGGTTAGGTAGGTTAGGTAGTCGAAAAACAATTAATTCATGAAAACTTGGCTTATTAGGCAAATCGGG